GGATCCCGGGATTGAAGGTGAGGGGGGCGGCGGATCTCAAGGGGGGGAGGGGGGTCACGCAGCCAGCACATACACGCGATCGGTAGGCTATAGAGCCGTCGATCGTATGTATGTGAAACAGCCGATAACGGCTCTTTGCATTGAACGGGCTTTTTCTGCCCGGGGGCGCGCGCAGAAAAAAAAAATGCCGTCTGGAGACGGCAACCCGCAAATGCAAGTCCGCCGTCCGTCCGTTAAAACCTATCATAATGCCAGTTTAGAAGGTCCGACAGTGTTCGGGATTGAGGCCATTCTGGTAATGAAGGATCCTGGGATCAGGTACAGGAAGCTGTGCAAAAGAGAAATATGTTGGATCTATAGACTTAGCAATCTAGTACCTAATGGCCTCAATGAAGCTTTCGAAATAGCTGCAGTCGTCTAACAGTGTATTTTTTCACCTCTTATGTTAATCATCCAGAAAATGATAGGCACTAAACATTGTTGAGCACTCTTCCAGTCCATTTATCATGGCCCTATGGCTCTTATGTCTTTAAAGGAAAATACCCTAGGTGGTAAAGTGTGCGTTTACGGTACATTCTTTATCACCATATCGTTTTTCCTTCTTTCTCTCTGGACCATACCCTATGGGGAGATAATAAAAAGGTCTGGACCATTATACTGTTTTTTGCTCTCTAGAATATATTACAAATAGGGGGAATATTGGAGGCATAGTAAAGTTTATTAACGCAGGAATCGGCATCAGCCTCAATACGAGTTGTGCCAATTTCTGAAAGAATATCCCTAATAGTTCTTGTTCCCTTTTTAGAGTGACTTTCATAATCTCCTGCCTAGTTAGATAACCTTTAGTTATCCACCTTTGTGTCAATCTATATGATGAAATGTAATTTCTAGGTAATCTATATTTAATAATATACACTTGGTGTGTAATGTTTCAGCATTAACATTCCCACATGTGGCTAATTACTTTTCCATCTATATAAAAGTTCTTGTGACTGAAGCTGAATACACTGAAAATGACTAGTTAGGTGTACTTTTTACAATAATTACTAGACATATAATGTACTATGTGAATAGGGCTAGATATTTATACAATTGTCATTGGTTATTGACAATTTTACTACCACCTGTAATTAGATTTTTTTAAAACATTTTAACAATTTTTTTACTGTTCTAATCATTTTCATGTGTGTATATATAGATAGAGGAATCTGTTGCACTTTCTCCATGTGACCATAGAAAATCCGCAGTTTTAAAGAAACACCTTCTCTGGTGGTTCATTCAATGACAATGTCCCCTTCTTCGGGACACAGAAGCGATCTGGTGACAGGTAAGTCGCCAGGATCGCTTCTGTTGTAAAGCCGACAGTCGGCTCTACAAGTTTAAACAGAGTCCCGGCGGCAAAAGTCGCCGGGAGTCTGTTTAAACAGCCCCGATGCTGGCGACGCACACTGTACGTCGTCAGTCACGAAGGGGTTAATCACCAGGTCCCACCAATGACGTCTGGATTACATCTGTGTTTGCAGACTGCCCACAGAAATGAGCGAAATTTTATTCAAAATTTTAAACCAAGGGGAGAAAAAAAAAAGCTATATAATCACTCTGAGCTTTACCATTCTGCTATCTTACATTTAAAAAAAAAAAAATATTAAAAAAAAACACTTATGTGATATTTTTTTGGCAGAGTTATATTTTGGGGTAAACGTTGCATTGGAAAGAAAAAAAAAAGGAATTTAGTTTTTTCCCCCCACGCTCTGAAAAAAATGAATCGGGGATTAAGGGAGAAAAATGGCTGAGGACTCAAGTGGTTAAAGAGGCATGATTCTTCTAGCTAAGATATGGCATACCCAGCTGCCCCAGTCTCCTGGTGGTATGCTTCCTCAGTCACTGATTCAATGCTACGAGATCAAGTGTGTAACTCTTGGCACCATTTTTAAAATGTGCCCTCCTTACTTCAAACAGTTCCAAGGCCCCCTTTCCTTCAACTAAGGTCTTGTTCACACCAAATGCAGAGCAGATCTGCATGAGTTTCTGCACACAAAGTGCAGTGGGTGGTGCCGCGTGTTTGACACGTTTCTGATGCGTTCAGGGCCGTTTTTGGTTAAAAATGGGCTTTCAGTGCGCTCGTGCGTTTGCATGCGTTTTTGATGCGTTGGCATGTGTTCCAGAGCAGGTACTGCTGCAGTTTTTTTACATGCTCTGGAACTGAACGCTGCAGTGTGAACTAGAGCCCAAAATACCATTGGAATACATTGGACGCAGTTTTGATCCGGTCTGTAACTGCTCTGCTCTTGGAACGCGCTTAGTGTGAACAAGGCCTAAAAGTCTCTGCCTCTGGTGTCCAATAAAGAATATTCAGAATATTCAGATTTGAACCCACTTGCCCCCTTATTCCCTATAGAAATCCCATGATTACAAACATGCCAGACTCTCTATGATCACAAGAAGCGTGGTTCTCACAGCTAGTGGAGGATTTTCACATACATACATACCCTGAATTTCATTAAGTGTATAGCGGCTTAAACAAGGCAAGGCTTAACCATTTCCAGCCTGGCAGAGTGTCCCGTCATTAAACAATGCAGTATCTAGCCTGTTGTCAGAAGCGTATAACTTTTGCTGCACAGGCCAGTTAGGCTCATTAAGGAAATTGCAGCATTGGGGGAGAGACAAGGTAAGTGTAAACAGCTTTCTTTTCTTACTTTTAAAGCTCAGGGGAGCTTACATCTGTACAACCTACTCCTGAAAGCTGCTGGCATGTCAACGACGTGTTTATGCAACGGATCTCATGTTTTAGCAGTCCAACAGCTTTTGCATGTTACTTCATTTAGAGATCCCAGGTAAAGAAACGAACGCTGAAGTTGTTAAAGCTAAATGTTGAATGGGCTAAATCTGAGATCCACCATTCCATTAAAGTGGTAGTAAACCGCTGTGAGAAGGGTAGGGTTTTGGGCCTAATGTGCAAGGATAGGAGTGGAAATGTCTTCAATTAACCCTCAGACAGCAATAAAAACACACAATACACCAAACCACACAAACCTCTATAACCTGCATGTAGGAATGGGTGCTTGACTGAACAGTGACATTGTGCAAATCCAAACTTTGACAAAGGACACAGAAATGTCACCATTTGCCGCCTTGAAAAGGGGGGCTGTGTACCCTTGAAACTGTTTTTTTCAGATACACACAGTAAAACACGAATCATCTTCCTGTTTTTTACGGTCCCATGGCTGCCCACGTGAACAAGGCCTCTACAACAGCACACCTCAGTATGTAACTTGTATGCTGTGTCTTCTTTTTTCCTGGATCCAAAGATTACTACCCCAGGTTCCAGGTGGCTCCATTGACCTGCAGGGTCCTATGGAGCCACCTTTTCCGGGTCTTTGACGCTGGCAACATACACTGGCATTAAAGAAGGGCTATACAGGTTATGCATGTGCAGTGACCAAAGTGGCCCTACCTTAAGGGCGCTTTGCATTTTGGCACAAGGTCAGCTTTAACCACTTCAAGACCAGGTGTTTAGACCCCCTTCCTGTGGCAGTTAAACTGCATGTATATAAACATGAATTTATGTAAAAAATACTGGGCTGCAGGAAACTTTCTGTCCAACCAGTCTGATTCCAGCTGTGGATGTGATAAAGTAAGGAAATAAGGGAAGTATATGACCATTAAAGTGTACATCTTTGGATAAGAAGAATTAGAACCAGTCTTTTTTTTTACTCCAATCCAAGGCCCTATTGAAGAGATAGATATAGGTTTACAAAAGCTTTTTAAATGCATATAAAAAAAGTGTCTAATCACACAACCTTACAAATCCCCCGATAGCAGTAAAAACCCAACAGAAGTTCTAATTCTTTCCCACTCTGCCAAAACAAGTAAAAAAGGTTTTTGGCTTCAATACTACTTTAAAGCCTAACTCAGAGCAAACAAAAAAGTACCCTTGCAGTGGGACAACCAGAGCACTGCAATGGTTAAAGTGACATTAAACCCTCAGATTTTTTAACATAAACCAATACTGTAATGTGTGCCTTACTGTAATCCATGGTTGTTTCCCTTTCTCTTTGCTGCTCTTCCTTTTAAATCTGTATCTGTTCTCATGCTCTGCAGAACTTCTGTTTTGCAGCAGACTGCCTTGTCTCAGGAATGGATACACGGTGTCTGTGTATACGTTTGTATAGGCTTGTAACCTGAGCCAGCACTACAGGAAGAGGCCCTGAGCTGAAAAGGGAAGTTCTCCCCCAGCATGAGAAGACATGAGGATTTAAAAGGAAGAGCAGCAAAGAGAAGGGAAACAACCATGGATTACAGTAAGGCACACATTACAGTATTTGTTTATGTTAAAAAATCTGAGGGTTTAATGTCACTTTAAGTACTTGTTTATGTCCTGAGGCTGGAGTAAAGCAGCAGATTTACTTACCTGACCCGCGCTCCCTTCAGGCTGCTAGACTGGCCACTGCAGTCTCTATTCCCCTTCACTCAAGAACTCCAGACAAATCAAATCTTAACCCTTGCAGTGGGGCTACCCCTGCACTGCAAGGGTTAAGTGCTCGTTTTGTCTAGGGAGCTAACATAACAAAGTTAAGCTGGCCATATTAGTAGATTTCCGAATTTACTAATAATGCAAAAGATCGTTCTTTACCACCTGATAATGCTTTTTCGTCACGACGGTCAAAATGAATCGTGGATTTGACCCCATTAAGTCGAAAGAAAGATCTGTCCCCAATGTCACGGAAGATGGGCATTAAGCAACGCTGTAAAAAAGCTAAGCAATATATGAAGATGCTGTGTAGAAATGTGTAAAATAGTCATGATGTTATACTGAAGCATAAAAAGAGAGATAAGAGCCGGCAGAAGAGAGTATTCTTTTATGGGTGCATAGACCAGTGACAGGTTGTCTGTTCCATATACCCGCCCTCCATATGGCACCTAGGATGCCTGGGAGCGGAGGGCCTGCCATCCACCATTACAATACCGGGCATACTACAGAGCGCACTCAGCGGTCTCACCTTCCCCTTCAGGTCCAGCACGTAGACGGCGCTGGCCGACATGTTTCCCTCTGTCTGTGGCCGCTCCCGAACGAACACAATGCTTGTCCTCAGCCCCGGCACATCCCCGTTATACTTCTCTCTAGCGGTCCGCACTGAGAGGAAGCTTGCTCATATCCCTTCCGGGCATCACTGTCATGGCTTTCCACTACCAAGATGGCGGCGGCGGCAAAGCGCTACCATTATCACTAATGCCAGTCGCATTCCCATACCAAAATGGCCGCGACAAGACTTTCCCTCGTAGATTAATAACATAAAAATGTCGTAATAAAGCGGCCGCCTCTGCTGCTTCGTCAGGGTGGCAGGGCAGACTCTAAACAGGAAGGGTCATAATGTGTAGCTGACACTATAGCTCTCATTTGGAGGGTCTGCCCCATTTTTGTATCCCTCTTTCCTCCTCAGTCGTCCCTCTTTTTAGTGCATATACCTCTAAGCCCCCATTCACATCTGTACACTGGGAGAAAAGCATTTAAAATCACATGCATCTGGCAGCACACAGAAATGCGTCTCATTATTCTATGCTCTACAGTGCCAACTATTCTTAATGGCACCCCAATGCACCTTGACATCATACGTGCATTAAGCCACACTGGAACATGTGGCAACAAAGTACTATGAGTTTGGGCGCAAAATGCTTTTAAAAAAGCTGCATGCACCTCTTTGGTGCGATTTAGGTGTGCAGGGGAAAACCAAGCATCAGGGCGTGGGTGCCCACATCTGCTTAGGTGTGAACCTAGGCTGAAAGGATGTACTATCCGAAGGGTCAAACATGGACCCGTTTAATGCTCCATCCTCAACCTACCCCTACTTAACTGAATCTCTGGGTTCTTCATGCAGCATCCTGTATTTTTTTTTTTTTCAATTTGACTTGGCAGGATCTGTTAATGTAAAAAAGCTGCAAGTCCCACCGTGGCAGAGGGACTCGTGGATCTCAATGGAGCACAAGTGCAGTGACATCACCACACATGTAGTCAGGGCTGCCAATAGAAATCATGGGGCCTCATACAGACTACCTGGCAGGGCAACCCCCGTCACCTAGAGGAGAGGAATGAGGAGGGAAATTTGGAAAATTGTAAGTGTGGCAAAATTGCAGTGGGGAAATGTAAAACTTGAGCCTCTGTATAGAGTGCAGGGATCAGAAGTAAGTAATAAATATAGTGCAGGGGTCAGGAGTAACAGAGGTGAGGAGTAAATAACGCATAGTTCAGGGGACAGGAGTACATAATGCAGAATCCAGAGGTCGGGAGTAAATAATGCAGAGGTCAGGAGTACATAATGCAGAATCCAGAGGTCGGGAAAATGTATTTCAGAGGTCAGGAGAAATGTAAATTGAACGTAAGGAGCAAATAAGGCAGATTTCAGAGGTCAGGGTATGTAACGCAGGGTTCAGAGGTCAGGAGTATGTATCACATGGTTCAGTAGTAAATAACACAGAATTCAGAGGTCAGGAGTAACACGCGATGCAGAGGTCAGGGGTAAATAAGGCAGAGTTCAGGATCAAATAAAGTAGAGTGCAGAGGTCAGGCGTAAATATGGTAGACTGCAGAGGTCAGGAGCAAATAATGCAGAGTGCTGTGGTCAGAATCTAATGTAGAGTTCAGCAGTAACACACAGTGCAGAGGTCAGGATTAAATAAGGCAAAGCGCAGAGGTTAAATATGAGTCCAAAGGTCAAGGGTATGTATTTCAGCGGTCAGGGGAAATGTAGAATTCAGCCTAAGGCGTAAGTAAGGCAGGTCAGGAGTATGTAACACAGAATGCAGCAGTAAATAATGCAGAATTCAGAGGTCAGGAGTAAATAAGGCAGACTTCAGAGGTCAGGAGTAATACGCAGTGCAGAGGTCACACGCAAATAATGCAGAGGTCAGCAGTAACACGCAGCGCAGAGGTACGGAGTAAATAAGGCAGAGTGTAGAGGTCGGGAGCAAATAATGCAGAGGTCAGCAGTAACACGCAGTGCAGGGATCAGGAATAACAAACAGTGCAGAAGTCACAAGGAAATAAGTCAGAGGACAGAAGTCAGGAGTAACACGCAGTGCTGTGCAGAGGTTAGGAGTACATAATACAGGAGGAGAATTTAGAATTCAGAGGTAAGGAATAAGTAAGTCCGAAGTCGGAAGTATGTAGCACAGAGTGCAGCAGTAAATAAAGCAAAATTCAGAGGTCAGGAGTAAATATGACAGAGTGCAGAGGTCAGAAACAATAATTGCAGAGTATGCACACAAATCTGCACTGTAGGCATCAGACAACTGCCAGCTAGCACCGTTATACAGCCTGCTGTGCCCTTGGCACTGCTCTCCCACCCCCACTTCCAGACCACATATACCTGCTCTGCAACATATGTCACCTTGGACAACAAAATCCTCTGATCGCTGCTAGCAGCTATCAGCTTTATTGCTGATAGCTGCTAGAATCGGGAGCTAGTGATACTGTTGCTTGAGAGCATGATAGTGGCCTGGAGAGTATAGATTTCCTCAGTGAAGTGGAGGGCTATGCTGTGGGATACACATAATGCCGGGAGTTCTGGGAGGGCCAGATTACAATAGGGGCGTTTGGAGCACCAGTTCCGGGCCCACTACTGAAAATAGGCCCGGCTGTTAGACTTACATATAAATGGATCGCAGTATGTACACAAGAATGAGCCGTGACTCATTCATATGTAAATTACACTGTCAATTTATACGCAAATGAAGATGCGCGACACTCCCCCCCTTCCGCAATTATGGAAGGTGGCACATTTCGGGATTCTGGCAGTCTGCTCGCATAAATGGTATTTCACTTCAGCTGTTCTTCATCCAGTGTCTGCTTTATCTGTGTGGTATCTCTGTGGTAACATATCAGTGATCAGGGTCAGTCATATTTGGGGAAGCAGAAGATGTCAGCCTATTTCCTACACTGCCCACCTTTAGGCGATCCTTAAAAACCCATCTCTTCAAGGAAGCCTACTTCTTCCAATAACTCAATCCAAACAATTATTACCTTTTGTATCATTTGCCCCTCCTACTATATTGTAAGCTCTCACGAGCAGGGCCCTCCTAACCCTATTGTACTGAAACTGTATTGTATTGCAATGCAAATTGTATTGTAACTGTACTGTCTGCTCCATTTTGTAAAGAGCTGCGCAAATTGTTGGCGCTATATAAAATCTGTGTAATAATAATAATGAAGAGAGATTGTGTGTGCTATTGATGTACAGCAATTGCAATGTATTTGTGGTCTAGTGCAGTAATACAGATTGGATCATTATACATTACCGTTTCACAATCTGACTATGAGCAGACAAAACTGCCTGAAAGGTGAGTTTAGTTTTGACAATGTCAGCATTTCTTTAAGGGGTTATGTTGGTCTCCCATCAATTGTGTTACAAGAGAGATGATTGTATGCAAACAGAGCACAGGGACGATGAGAGTGGGAGCAGAGGGGATGTCGGGGAAAGTGGGAGCAGAGGGGATATAGGAAAGAGTGGGAGCAGAGGGTATGTGGAGGTAAGTGGGATCAGAGGGGATATGGCGGAGAGTGGGAGCAGAGGGGAGATGTGGGTGCAGTAGGTATGTGGGGGAGAGTGGGACCAGAGGGGAGATGTGGAAGTGGAGGGGATGTGGGAGCAGAGGGGTGATGAGGGTCAAAGGTGGTGTCCTCAAGTAGAATATTACATGCAATCAATAAAACAAGGATTGTACATAGAACAATATCGGACCTCTGAAAAGTACAAGCATGCATATGTACTCGGTACTTGGTTTGGGCCCCTTTTGCAGCACTTACTGCAATTACTTTTGCATGATATTCTAATTATTCGAGTTTCACCTGTATATACCTCGATTACATTGCTGGTCAGTGAGAATATCTCTGTTACATTGCTGGTCACTGTGAATACCTCCGTTACATTGCTGGTCACTGTGAATACCTCCGTTACATTGCTGGTCGGTTAGAATACCTGCCTTATATTGCTGGTCAGTGTGTTTACCTCCATTACATTGATGGTCAGTGAGAATACCTCAGTTACATTGCTGGTCAGTGAGAATATCTCTGTTACATTGCTGGTCAGTGAGAATGAGAATACCTCCGTTACATTGCTGGTCAGTGTGAATACTTCTGGTACATTGCTGGTCAGTGAGAATACCTCTGTTAAATTGCTGGTCAGTGAGAATATCTCTGTTAAGGTGGCCATACAATTTACAACCCTCGCAAAACTTTTGTCTTGCGAGGGTTGTAAAGTAATTTAAAAAACGTACGATCTGCCTATCTTGGACAGGCACATCGTATTTCCGATGACCGCAATACTTAATGGGCAGTGTGCGCTTGCGCACACCGGCCCGTGCAGCAGATATCTCACGATCATGATTTAAACCAGCTGAAAATCGTACGATTCTCGGCTGGTTTTCGAACATGCTCAAAATACAAAAGTCGCGCGACCGTACAGTAGAAACGGTCGCACGCCTTCCATACACTGCAGGGATATTGTACGATCGCGGGATTTTCCGCGATAATCGTGCAGTGTACGGGCACCTTTACATTGCTGGTCAGTGAGAATATCTCTGTTACATTGCTGGTCAGTGTGAATACCTCCGTTACATTGCTGGTCAGTATGAATACCTCAGTTACATTGCTGGTCAGTATGAATACCTCCGTTACATTGCTGGTCAGTGTGAATACCTCCGTTACATTGCTGGTCAGTATGAATACCTCAGTTACATTGCTGGTCAGTGTGAATACCTCTGTTACATTGCTGGCCAGTGTGAATGCCTCCATTACATTGGCGGTAAGTGTAAGGCCTTCTAATTTTATTACAGAGTATTTTTGCCACCTTCAACATCCTCAGATGTCGCAGGACTCAGCAGAAAGTTCCGTGTCACATGATGTTTTTTATATATTATATATAAAATATGTTTGCAGTGTAATTGGTTGATTCTACAATTGACAAATTTGTAATAAAAAGCACAAAAAATTAATGTGTACTTTAATCTTAATCTACTAGTTTGCCTCATTTAGGTAATTTGGGGTTCAGTGAAAAAGCTATGCAAAGTTTTGTTAATGCACTTTAATAGTAATTCAAATGTTTTCTTTTATGTATTTCCCTAAAAAGCCCACCCAAAATCCTCAGCACCAGGCCCATGACGCTTTTAATCCGGCCCTGGCTACAGGAGGGCCGACTGCACATAGTCAATTTATATC